TGTGCAGTATAGGAGTTTTGTGACGAGAGTTCTGCTAGTGGTGCTCGTTATCATAGGGACGGCCTTCCTGGGACTGTTGAGAAATTAGACCTTGTTGATGCCTTTTATTGTGTATGCTCTACACTAACGACCTTGTGGTACGGAGATAAGAGCTTCTCGACCCCAGCCCGGTGCATATTTTCTATATTTCGGTTTTAGCAAGCACTCTTTTTCTTGGGTAAGTTGTTATGGTACGGTGCTGAGATTAATACAGAAAAGATACAGGGCATTCAAGTGGTATATTACATATAGACCAACAAATTTGAATGTGCAGTTTTGACTGAGTTGTAGGGCTAGTAGTTTCTCTACAATCCCTACGTTCTGTTTTTCATTATAATAGGTCCATGTAAAAGTATCATGTGCTACTCAAATTGGAAAAAATTCACCCGTTTAAATCCTTATTTTGCATTGTGTGTGAAATAGGTTCAATCCTTTTGCATTGTGTGTGAAATAGGTTCAATCCTTATTCCTTATTGGATTTTATTACTTGTAAGAGTGTCATATGATATTATGTAATCTTTTATGTAAATCTTGATGTTGTTTGAAGTGGTGGGTCAATTTTGACCACAATTTTAAGTGGGACCCGATTTTCGATGTATCGAAATTAATGCTCAATTAAATTCTACGTTCCGAGCAGATGAGTGTAGAATATTTAATTGTGAAAAACCACTTCAATATGAATGAGAAATTATGGTTGAAAGTTAGACAATAAATAAGAGGAATAAATGGGAAAGAATTGGAAAAATGTTTCAATCCCACATAGGTTGCAAACACAACCTTGAATCACTTAATAAACTTCAAGTTTGGATATGGGTTTGGGCCCCAAGGGGTACCAATAGTCTTTGAAAGGGGGGAGTCTTAGACAATGTCTAGACTAATTCAAAGGCCACACACGCTCTGTCGCCGCCTTCCGTCCGACCGGGCGGGTTGGGTTGTGGGCCTGTGTTAATGTTAATTTAAATTTTATTATTATTATTTTTTAAATTCAATTAATTCTCTCCCTTTGATAGTTTATTAACCGACCCATCAGTTTGCTAAAACTGTACGTTAAGTGGGCATGAGTAGTGGATGGAAACTGCTCAACCGTCAACTCTCTCCTCTATTTGAAGAATACACAGGCTTTCAATTTTAAGAACACACAGAAACATCACGAAATCATTCTGCATACATACTCTTCTTTTCTGCAATAGTCTACAGAGAGTACTTCTGTTCTGGTTCGTTGCCTTGCAGTCGAAGTGCTGCTTCTGCAAGTATCTGATCGTTGTTTCTTGAGAGACGCTTTACCGCATACCTTAAGCACCGTGTGACGGGATAAAAACGTTTTAAGGACAGAGAGCCTAGTTCTCGCCTCGATCATCCTCATTCCGAATTTTGAACTTCTTTATGCTTCTGTTTTTATTCTTTGCAATTCATTTTCTGGAAATAATATTCTGTTTTTATTGTTTTGCAATAATTCATCTAGTTTATCAAGTCATTTATAAAAAATATGTTCTGAACAACAAAATCCAACAGATGTATATGTAGCAAGGTCCATCCTTATTTTGCATTTAGACTCTTCTTGTTGGTGATGGGCCTCCCAATTGGCTTTTCGGTCCATAAAGATTGTTCAATTTTATCGACTATACATTGTACACTTTTAGCCATTGTTGTAAGTGGGCAACATAATGGACCCAGCCCACCACACAGAATCCTATAAAGGTGGAATGTGAACAAAAGCAAAGGTACAGTACTGTACTATTGTAGAACTCTCCGTACAGCTGCAGTAGAATTATTTACTTCAACTTTTAGCCATATAACCATTGCTTACAATGTTTTAAACTATTGTTGGTTGGATTATATCATTTAAAAACTTATGTTCAGCGTTGGGAAGAAAAATGAGTGGTTGGTAAAAACATCATGGGGTCTGCTAGCTTGGTGTGAAATTTCATTCTAGCTGTTTTACATTTTTTCTTTTGTTTTGAGTTTAATTACCAATCACCATTATGTTAGGGGAGCGTTCCTCCTACACATGAATTTGACAAGTATTTTTGACAAATAATCATAACCTTTAGATTAAGCAAATCCAACAGTCAGTAAGTATATTATCAGTAGGATTATGAGAGAATTAGTTATAACCACTTGAAATTCATGAGATACTAACAGCTGGATTTACTTAATTTAAAGGTCACAATTATTTGTCAAAAATACTCGTCAAATCCATGTATAGGAATAACCCTTCCCGTTACTAAAATTAACATTCTTTCTATATTAACTTTAGTCGATGCAAGTTTGCATTGATGTCCAATTAACACATCAAAAATAATGTCAAGATAGTCACAAGAGAAAATTTGCCAACCATGCGATAAAAGACATTAGGAATCATTATGGATAACCAAATTGAAATAAAAGCGAGACTTTAATACTGAATTTAGAATTCATAAAAGTTGAGTGACCGGAATGAATTTTTGCATACAGTTACCCACTTTCAACTCATTTGATGACGAAAGTTAAATACTACTGCAATTGGTCACTCTGTCGTAGCCGAATTAGCAGCCGTTAAAGCTTAACTTAGACTAACGACTATCACAATGATCATTTCTTTCCGACTGGCCTCTTGTTTCGACTGTCTCAACTTTTTCACTATTTATTAGTGGTGAAATATGAGGTCATGGTTAAATGGAGCAATTCAAGATTTTTAAACTGAACCTGAAGCTTTTTATTTTAAGAATTATGCTTAACTTTAAGATAAGCAATTTCACGATAAGGGCCCAATCATAAAAAAAAAAAATAGAGGCCAAACAAGCCTTGCATATCGCGTGACCATCAGTTGAAAAACAATCATTTTTCATTTAACAAAAGATTCATGAATCTTAAATTTATGGGGGAGTATACTGAGCACAGTAACATAATAAAAATAATTTTATATAATAAAATCAAACAAGCGATTAATGGGATAGATTCCCTGAATATTTTACAAGTCCAAGAATATTTGATGTTTTTAGCACAAGGAATAATTTGTTGGAAAAATGAGTGAATTGGCTCACTTTTGGCACAATTTTTGATGGGATTTGTTGGTCCAATTTGGAATATCAAAGTTGATATGTGTTCTCATCCGCAAAAATATCAAAGTCGTGTATTTATTTGCCAAAAATAAAGTTCGGGTGAATGAGAAATTGGAGTCTAAAGTAGACCATTCAAAATGATCTATGTTGGTGGGAAAATTTTGTCCTACATAGGAAAATCATGGAAACCAAAACCATTTTATATATGACTATGCATTGGAATGACGTGATCATGTGTAGCATAGAAGCTCTCTCCACGTGCGCGCGTAGGGAGGTGCAAATCACGGACAAAAATAGCCTTCGAACCTTGAACTTGGGTGTGACCCGTGCACACAAATGTCGGACCGAACGAAACAAAAATTGGCCAGTTCGTCGGAGTAGAATCGCGGTACTCGGATTCTGTTGGTTACCGTTGTATTCCAAGAGACAGGCGCTCAAACTAAATCTCTAACACCGTAGTGAGGGGGCGAATTTATTTTAAGGAAACCGTGTTTACACAGGCTTTGTGTTGAAATTATATCTGCTATTTCTTTAGTTTGCAATTTTGCTGATTTATTTATTTAATTTGCAATATACTTGAAATTTATGCCATAAATAGATAAATAAAATAAACTGATTTTTCTAATTCGTTATATGTGTGAAAAATATATTTCACATATACGGTATTTCTATTTATAAGTGAAAAAATTTTATGTTATTTTAGTTAGTGTATGAATAAAACACTTTATGTAAAATTTTGTGCAAATACGGTGAGTTTCGCCTGCAAATACAGTAAGCTGTCGTATACAGTGAGTTACACTCCCAAATACTATGAGTTGCACTATCATATACGGTAAGCAATTGTCAAATATGGTAAGTGTGAATCCGGTGTTTAAAACACAAATACGGTATATGAGAACCCGATTCCACTCCATATACTACCGATTAAATATAACAACATAATTTTCATTTTTTATGGAAAGCTAAAAGTTAAAAAAAAAAAAAATAATAATAATTCAAATTTACTTTCCACGTAAATTGTTTATCAACCGTCAGTTAGCTATCAATTTTTATGAGTCGTCGTATTTTCGAAGTTATTTTTCCTTTGGCTGGACTCAAGTTTTTTCGAATAATCACCCCATCCTCAACATTGTTTACACCTGTTAACATTTGTGACTCTGAATCAATTAGAATCTGAAAACTGAAGACTCCTTCGTTATTGTCATCAAACTCTTTAATTTTTCAATCAAAAGAGATCGGGTAATGGATGGTAGAACTAGCACCAGCGATTCATTCAGAAATATTTAGAAGTGTCAAAAATCGACATTAAATTACTAAATTACAGGGACCATGGACATTTTTAACACTTTCACCAAATGATAAAGATATTTGTATAAAATTTTATTGATAAAATGGTGTGTTCACTCTCACAAAATTAATGATCTCACACAAATTTAAAAAATTTCGATTTGTGATCTCCATCTCATTGTGAGTAGTGAATAAGGGGATTTGTAAAAAAAAATTTGTACATATATCATGATTCTTCACCAAATAGATCAAAATATTAAAAAAACAAAAAGAAAAAATTGTAGCAACTATCCTAACTTTTTCATTTTTTTACAAATTTCGCTCTAACTTCATTTTGCACCTTCCATAAATTTGCACTTGAAATCCATCTGAATAAAAATCATCCAAAATACTGTCAGTTGATTGAGAAAATTAAAGAATCAATATCCAATCAAATCGTTCAAGAATCCCGACAAAAAATGTATCAACATCCAATAAAATCTTTGTAATAGCAGATAATTCAAGAAATTTTCTTGATTAACTAACGATATTTTAGACGGTTTTCATTTAGATGGATTTTAGGTGCATATTTATGAAAAGTTAGGCACCTTCGCTGACATAAAATGAAGATTAGAATAAAATCTACAAAAAATGAAAAGCTTAAGTACCATTGTTGCAATTTTCCCAAGAAAAAATAAAAGGTTATTTTGTTAGAAATAAGATATTAAGACCTCTCTCGATTCCAGAATCTACGAATAAAGCGAAACAAAAAGAGGCTCAGATGAGTCATAAAATTACATAATAAAGCATTAATGGGCTCTGAAACTATCTTCTTCTGGTTCTTGTACGGCGGCAGCATGTAATTGCTCCGGCTGACCGGCAACGTAGTCCAACAATCCTTCTACGGCCTTTTCATCGGGGGCAGATGGCGGTGGCGGAGAAATCCGGCCAAAAATAAATACGGCAACGAGGAAGAGCGCCGTCGAGACGAGAAGAGGCCAAAAGTACTTAATAATATCGAGAACTGGAGGAGCAAGATAGATGATAAAAAAGACGGATGAGCATAAAGTAATGGCCGAAAGGATGTAGAATTTGTATTTGAGAAGCTTTTCTGGGATATCCATGGCAGATTTGGGCGACCTTGTTGTGGAATCGTTAAGGGTTTAAGGCTTTTGTAAGAGACGAAAGGGTGCGTTGGGCGATGAGTGATGACTCTGTGCAGACTGTGCAGAGATTCTTTTTGAGATTATTATTGTCTTCAGGCCAGTAAAATTTTAGAGTCAATCTGTTTGTCATTTTACTTTGGACTTGTGGGATATTCCCAAAATACCCATCCAGATTTTAAACCTACCAACTCAATTAAAAAAAAAAAAAAAAAAAAAAGTTTTTGCCGAAAATTAGGATGGTTTGATTGCATTTATTTTTCATAAAAAAATTTTAATTTTTCAATTAAATTCCAACTTTTAGTGCTTGATTGCAATTTTTTTCCAATGAAAATATTTTCCAATTTTTAAAATATGCCTAATTTTCCTTATTTTTAAGGAAAATATTTTCTTTAAAGCGAGTTAAATTTTTATTTTCGTTAATACAAGGAAAATATTTTTTTTCTAGATAATATTTTTATACCAATCAAACAAACTCTAAATTCAACGATTTAGGTTTTTATAATTAACAAGAATAATGCTATCTAACATTAATAGTGATAGATCATCAATTTAATTGGCTACACTATTCAGTTAAATAAATTATGTGACTTTATATTTAAATGAATCGATCATTTAATATCATATCATTGACGCTTGGACTGATGATTAGGATCCCCATTTGTGGAGTTCGGTCAGGGGGGCTGACCGCCTCCCTATTTTAGCAAAACCCTTGCCCTTATTACTTTTGTCAAATTTACAGTTTCTTCATTCCTTGTAGGGACATGCCAGTCATTTCGATTGCGAAAGAGGGAATAATAGTCAAATTATATTCACGTGTGTGTCGGCACTTTTTGTTTAAGGAATTGGCAGTTTGCTAGAAGGATGTTTTTGTCGGTTTATGGACGATTGCATCTATCTAGATCTGTTTAATAAACCCGGTCTGATTTTTAAATTTTTCGGAAATCAGGAAATAGATTAAGGATCCGAGTTAAATTGGATCATCATTGTAGCTATTTAAATCGTGGAAAGGGTACACATTTGAAATTTAAAATTTTGATGTAATGTTCACAGTTTTGAAGCTGTAAAACCTGATGCTTCTACTGTTGTCCATCAGGTTTTTATTAAGTGGAAATTACATAAATGTAGAGATTTAAAGAATACAATTCAAAGTTTAGATGCAAACTTTCATTATTCATAAATTAGGTATCAATAAATGTAAACCTTAAATCAATTTTCCTTTCACCCAAACCCTAACTCTCCATTATTTTCTCTCTCTCAAACTGGTCCTTCCTCTATCATCTCTCACCGTGAAATCTGAGGCAAAATTCGGCGATGAAGAAGATGTTTTGGCAGAAGCTACAGGAATCGAAGGCTGTTAAGAGTTCGCTGCAGCGTCGCCGGTGTCGATGGAATCAAAGGCTGATGGTGGCGGTGCTAACAGATGAGAGTTCGTTGTTGGAATTGGAGGCTGATGGTGATGGCGGTGTGGTGTGCGTGGTTGCGCTGCAGATCGCAACGACGATGGCGTGAGGTTGCGGTCATGGTTGGGTGTGCCTGGATGTCGTGATTGCGCCGTAGATCGTGATGGAAATGGCATGGCTGCAGTTGTGTGTGCCTGCGTGCGCGTGGGTGTTTGCAACGACGATGTTGTGGTGTTGGCAATGTGCGCCGACGGCATTTCTCCATGGGCGCTGCAGATCTGGTTGGGTGTTTGGTGGTGGTGGTGGTGACTTGGGTGGTTGTTGGAACATGATGTTGGCGATGATGGTGGCGACGGTTGATGATGGTGGTGGTGGTGGTGGTGGTGGTGGTGTTGGTGTTGTAGTGTTGGGACGGTCACAGGGTGATTGTGGTTGCAACTGGCGGTGGTGGTGCGTGGTGTCACGACGAGGCAGAATGGGATTAACCGTCACCATAAATTTTGTGACTATTCAACTGTGACCTTAAAATTCGATAATATGTGATTAAAAAATAATTTGTGACCAATAAATTTGTAAATATGTGATCGATAAATAAATTATGACTTATAATTTTTTTACCTGTGACCAATGAAACAATCTGTAACTAGTAGAATTTTTGATTTGTGACCTGGACATAGTATGTGATTAATTAATTTGATTATATGTGACCAATAAAATCATTCGTGACCTATAATTGTATATCTGTGATCATTAATTGTATAACTGTGATCTTATTATATTTAAATAATAAATATATTTAATTAATTAATCAATACCCGAGTTCTACATTTTTAAACTTGACATTTGAGAATTGAATTGTGTCATACTTAGACACCTGATTTTTTAACTTTTCCCTTTTATTAAAGAATGATGACCTTTATTTTACTACGGCCATGAATTGTGATGGAGCTGTCCGATTGGCTCAAGCATTGGGCCCTGATCACATTATTGTTATAATTCTGTGTGATAGTGCGACGAGGCACATGACTAAATTTTGTAATGTAAAGTATTTGTTGCACGATGACTTGACACCTTCAGCGACCCAATTAGAGTTTCTTGGTCTTGACTATGATTTGATTTACAATAAGTTTCTTCCCCCTAATTTTGAAGCCAATTAGGCCCTATTCTCTTTACCGTTTTCGGGTCGTTTTCTGTTTTCGATTTTTCAAAACGGTGAAAACGTGTTCTCTTTCCCGTTTTCGAAAACGAATTTTCGAAAACGTTTTCGAAAACGAAAAAAATTTGTGAAGAAAACAGAAAACGACTTTTTTGTCGTTTTGGGCGTTTTCAGTGTAAAACTTGAAAAAATTGAAAACGCGGGAAACACTTTTTTTTTTTTTTTTTTTTTTTTTTTTTTTTTTGGGGAGGGGGGGGGTTGCAAAAAAGGGAAACACACACACACACACACACACAGATATATATATATATATATATATATATATATAT